AAGTTTTAAATTCGAATTCCACAAAATACAAAATAGACAACGCACATTGCAAAATAAAGAAAATTAATCATAACTTAGTAGATACAAGAGGTACCTACATAAAAAATAAAAATCAAACAAAAAACAAAAAAATAAAAACTGCCGCATTTAAAAATCGCCTTATTAACAAATGATTACACGAGGCGTAAAAATATATTCAGACGTATCCACATTTTTTTCCTTTTATATTTTTTCTTTTTTATTTTCAATTTTTTAATTTATCAAATCGTTTTTATCAAGAACTTTCTAAATAAAAATGTAATTTCCTCAACTTTGTAGGGCTTGAGACGATACCTTTTATCGTTAATAATCAACCCTAACCTTAAGATATTAAAAGAGTCTAAATCAACTAAACTAAAAAGAACCCCTTTGTCGTATCTCCTCAGTTTCAAGGCACTCCCCTTGCTGCCTCAGCCAGTATCGGAATCTTTGGCGTCGACATATCGAACAGCGTGCAGTTTCGTGGTCACTTGGAAGGGAAGGCCAAATTGGCCTCTAAAAAGCTTGGCGTGCTCAGCAGAGCGAGACAGTATTTCATGCCGGCACTTCGCTTGCAACTTTACAAAGCGCAAGTTCGGCCCCACATGGAATACTGTTCTCATCTCTGGGCCGGGGCACCCCAGTGCCAGCTCCTTCCACTTGACCGCATCCAGCGCAGAGCGATTCGAATCGTCGACGACCGAGTTCTTTCCGATCGGCTCGATACACTGGCACTGCGTAGAGATGTTGCATCTCTTTGCGTATTTTATCGCATCTATCACGGGGAGTGCTCTGAGGAATTGTTCGGACTAATTCCAGCCGCTCAATTGCACTATCGTACATCGCGACAAAACTCGCGTTACCATCCATACCATCTGGATGATTGGCGGTCCACCACTGTGCGATTTAGAAGAAGTTTTCTCCCTCGCACAACTTCTTTGTGGAATCAATTACCACCAGTGAATTTTCCGAACCGATACGACTTAGGAACTTTCAAGAAAAGAGCTTACACCTTTATAAAAGGCCGGCAACGCATCTGCAATTCCCCTGGTGTTGCGGTTGTTCATGGGCGGCGGTAGTCACTTACCATCAGTTGAGCCGCATGCTCGTTTGCCCCCTTTTCTATATTAAAAAAAAAACTATATTTTCACTTTACACATAATTGTCTGAATTAAAACTAACGTACAAAACGAACGCAAATATATTGCAAATAAATGCACAAACACAACGTCAAAAAATTATTATTTTATAGATAATATCTTAGTGAATAGGACGCGCAACCAAGGTCAAGTGCGTAATTGTTGCGTTTTGAAAAAAATTCAAATTTAAACTTTCCATCCAAAAATAAACAAAAATATGGTCATACAAATCTAAGTCTTGTGTAATGTTCTTTAGATCATTTAAATTTGACAACTCTCACAACAACACAAACTTAAAAATTAGGCAATTTTAACCATTTAAAATTCGACCTTATTGCATTTGGTAATTAATTGTATTTCTTTATGTGCACAGTTGTGTGATAAGTACCAAAGCATCGTAAGGAAATCCATATTCGCTTCATCTCTTTCCTACGTATTTATGATAATACCGTTGCTAGAACGAGAAACAACAAATATCAACGAAAGAGGACATCGGTTAGTTTTAGGCCATGTTGACATAGCGTTCCAGTTTGCTTGCGTTGGTTTGCGTTTTACGTTTCGTACGTTGGTTAATTGGTTTTGCTTGGACATGATGTGTGATAACCTGATAACTGTGGCAACTTTAGCAAATACCCCCCTATGAATGACAATAACAAAGAACGGCCCCCAGTCCCCAGCGGCCCTGTTATTCCTGGCTACGGTGGCGACCATGGTAACGGCGGGGCTGGGGGTGTTAAGAATCTCCGGTGAAGGTTCGGTTGCCACCTAAGACGACTCGACCTGGCAACATACAACGCACGCACCCTGAGGACTGACGAAAAGATCGTGGAGCTGGAAGAAGAGATAGACAAGTTACGCTGGCATATTATACGATTATCCGAAGTTCGAAGAGAGGGGGAGGACACGGTAATCCTCGAATCCGACAACTTGCTCTATCACTGGGAGGACGACCATCTGTCCCAAGAAGGTGTCGGATTTATCGTCCACAAGTCTCTCGTTAACACCGTTGTAAAGATTGGGAGTGTGTTGACCAGGGTTGCGTACCTTATACTCAGAATCACCAAACTAAATTCGCTGAAGGTCATACTGGTTTACGCACCAACCTCGGCACACCCCGATGAGGAGGTGGAGGAAATGTATGAGGATATCTCTAGAGCCATGCACTCCTCCAAAACCCAATATACGGTGTTAATGGGAGACTTCAATGCAAAACTAGGCACAAGAGAGAATGGTGAGCTGAAAGTAGGGAAATTTGGAATAGGGCAACGGAACCCAAGGGGCCAGCAGCTGGCCGACTTCATGGAGAAAGAGGGACTCTTTATGATGAACTCTTTCTTCCAGAAGCGGCCCCATAGAAAGTGGACCTGGTCGAGCCCCGACAGGCAACTGAACAGACAGATCTCCAAATTTATGCGGCGGGACTTACGCAACTTCAATACAGCTCGTATTGAAGAAGCGATCGAGCGGAACCAAGGCTCCAAAGTCTTTGCCAGAAAGAGCCAACCGTCAAAGTTGAAGACCGAGTGTGGCAGCGTCGTTTCCGGGACCCCTGAGATTTTGAGGGAGATTAAGAGGTTCTATGGTCAGCTGTACATCATCGTTGGAGCCACACGTAAGTGTGAGTAACGATCCAAGAGCGAGTCTTATCCGACACTATTCAGACGTCAGTCTGAGCGAGATTAGATTGGCTCTCCAGCACCTTAAAAACGGAAAGGCCCCAGGCGAGGATGGAATTACAGCAGAGCTTCTGAAAGCGGCTGGAAAACCGGTACTTGAAGTCCTTCAGAAGCTCTTTAATTCCGTCCTTCATGGTGGCATTACACCGGAGGCGAGGAGCAGAAGTGCGGTGGTCTTGTTCTTCAAGAAAGGTGACAACGCTCTCTTGAAGAACTACAGACCGATATCCCTGCTGAGCCGCGTCCACGTGCTGTTTTCGAGAGTCATTACGAATCGTCTCACGCGCAGACTTTACGACTTCTAGCCTCCCGAACAAGCCGGTTTCCGAAAGGGCTTTAGCACCATAGAGACTTTAACCCCTTTTTACTGGAAACAAGGCATTCCTCTTAGTCCTCTCGGGTGACCACGCATCTACATTTTGATATTCGTAATCGAGGATAAATGTAGATGTCTATGGGCCACAGCAACCACTTACCATCAGGTGGACTGTGTGCTCGTTTGTCGCCCTTATCCTATAAAAAAAAAACCATAGACCACATACATATCCTTCGGCAAATTGTACAGAGGTCCGAAGAGTACAATTTGCCACTATGTCTGGCGTATGTGGACTATGAGAAAGCCTTTGATTCCGTCGAAATTTGGGCGGTGCTGCAGTCCCTTCAGCGATGCCAAGTTGACTGTCGGTATATCGAAGTGCTGAAGTGTTTGTACAGTAGAGCTACGATGGCTATCCGAGTACAGAACCTGAGTACGAAACCTATCCAATTGCAGAGAGTTGTAAGACAGGGTGATGTTATATCCCCGAAACTCTTCACCGCTGCATTGCAAGACGTTTTCAAGCTTCTGGACTGGAAAGGACACGGTATTAACATCAATGGCGAGTACATCACTCACCTTCGATTTGCCGACGATATATATATATATATTTTTAATAGGATAAGGGTGACAAATGAGCACACAGTCCACCTGATGGTAAGTGGTTGCTGCGGCCCATAGACATCTACATCTATCCTCTATTACAAATCAAAATGTAGATGCGTTGTCACCCGTGAGGACTAAGATGGAATGCCTCGTTTCCAGTAAAAAGGGCCTATGGTCCAGTAAAAAGGGTATATAGTCCTTATGGCAGAATCGCTGGAGTACCTAAGCACTATGCTCAATGACCTCAATAGTGCTTCCCAACGGATAGGTCTTAAGATGGACATGGACAAAACAAAAATCATGTTTAATGTCCATGTCACACCTATGCCGGTAGTTGTTGGGAGCACTAAGCTCGAAGTTGTTGACGAGTATGTTTACAAGTAGGACAAATAGTCCGACTAGGTAAGTCGAACTTCGACCGAGAGGTCAATCGACGGATTCAACTCGGTTGGGCAGCGTTCGGGAAATTACGGCACATCTTCTCGTCAAAACTTGAAAACGAGACTGTACAACCAGTGCGTGTTGCCAGTGATGACATACGGAACTAAGACGTGATCCTTCACTGCTGGCCAGATGAGGAAGCTCAAGGTCACTCAGCAAGCTATGGAGAGGGCTATGCTCGGAGTTTCTCTGCATGATAAACTCAGAAATGAGGATATCCGCAGTAGAACCAGAGTGACCGACATAGCCCAATGGATTAGTAAGCTGAAGTGCCAATGGGCCGGCCATATAGCACGAAGAACCGACAACCGATGGGGAAGAAAGGTTCTTGAGTGGCAGCCTCGTACCGGTAGGCGTAGTGTAGGGCGACCCCTCACGAGATGGAGTGACGACCTGGTAAGACATGCAGGAAGTCGATGGGTGCAGGTGGCTCAGGACCGTGCTTTGTGGCATTCCTTGGGGGAGGCCTATGTTCAGCAGTGGACTTATGAAGGCTTTAATGATGATGAACCTGATAACCGTCGAGAGAAAATAAACTATACTCCCTCTACGGTGATAACGGTTATGTACTTAGGTTTATCGATATGATATGATATTTTGATAACATAAGGTTATTAGTTACGTTTTGATATGTTGGATTGGTCTCATGCTTACTTCTTGCTTATTTCCTTACTTCCTTACTTGCTACATATTTCCCGATGTATTACTTTTCTCTATGCTACATATTTATTTAATTATTTATCTATGGATACGGCCGACTATTGGTAGGTCAATATTTAAGAGTAATAGATTTAGATCTAAATAATGGCTCGCAATTTAGCCGAAAATGTGAGAAAATTATTACTACTAGGACAATGCGTACCTACAGTTAAACAAAATGCAACAAAAATTAGAGTAAAGAGGTTAGAATTAGACGAAAATTTGCTAATGGTAAGCACATTATATTATGTTCTAAGTACTTAATTAATATATAACTCAAGTATATTTTTATGTTTTCGTTTTAGTATTTTAGAAAGGATGAATTTTACTACTGTTATGATCCAGAAAAAAAATGTCAAACTGGGGATATTGTACTTATAGAAGCTTTACCTCGGAAATTAACTAAACTCATTACTCATCAAGTAAAAGAAGTTGTATATCCGTTTGGTGATGTTACCGATCCAGTTACTGGTAAAAAAGTAGCTAAAGAAAGATATAGAGATGACATTGATATACAATCTGAATTGTATGGAAAACTAGAATCTGCATTTGACTACAAAAAAGCCCCACCTAGAGGTTGGCAAGATGGAAAGAAGGACTTCACTTCAAAACCAACATACACTAAATTCCATGTATTTGATGAAAATGACCCATATGCTATTTAAATAATAACCTATAATATTAGTTGTTACTAAGTACAAAGTAGTGAATTGTGTAAATATATCATATTTAATAAAATATTCTAACATATTTTGTATTATTCAACATATTTTAGGCATCAACTATATACGTATCTTCGATTTTATTTAAAAAAGATGTTTACGTAATATTTACTTCAGTGCCTACTAATAATTTTCTTAGTGTAGGGTTTGTATTACAGATCAAATACTTAAGATTTGCTATTACAGGGGAAAGAACAATAACATGCCATACAGAAGTTTGAAGGCGCCTAGGATACACTAGATGGCCTTAAATTTTCTGCCAGAAACCTAAGGAATCTTATATTGAAGTAGACTGCTCATACCTGGCCCTTACATAAACTTAAGCTATATTAGAAAGATTAACAATGAAAAATCATCATTCATTCTTTACAGCTTATCAAGTCCACTGCTGAAAATAAGCCTTTCATATAAATAGATTGCCCCATAGTCACAGGCGATTTTGATATAATTGCTATGCTTGGTAGGCAGGTACTTTGTAAACTGCTGTATTTTGCTTATTTTCAGTCTTTATCAGGAAAATGCTGCTGCCCATCTCCTGTTTGATTTTTCCTTTTTTTATAGAAGAGGACAAACAAGCATGCAGCTCAGCTGGTGGTAAGTGACTACTGCTGCCCATAAACAACACTAGGGGACAACTCTTTTCTTAAAGGTCCCTAAGTCGTATCGGTCCAGAAAAATCGCCAGTGGTAAACATTTCCACAGAGAAGTTGTATGAGGAAGAAAACTAACTGACTCCTCAGTCTCATGACACCTATAGGATAATATGGGGTATTAGATATTCTTACGCCGTCAATACACAGCATGTTTAAAAGCATTTGGGTTTGGTACAAAATCATAACTATTACTATATTGTGACACTGGACCAGGCTGCATGTTGGGTACTCCAGATCTAAACCTAAATTTAGATTATTTTAGAGCTATGTATCTGTTGTGTTGCACTTTTTATATTAATTTGTGTAATGATTGTAATAATTAAATTTAAATGAAATATTTTTTTATGTATGTAATTGATATAAAATTGACAATATAACTTAGATTTAATATTTTAATTTTGATGTCTATTTAAGACGTGATATGGACTACTTGAGGTTTGAGATATCTTTATTTCTCATAAGAATTTATAACAATTCACTTACATGAGAAAGTTTAAATACTTGCAAACAAATAATAATCTCAGAAATAAATTATTTTAATTTAATTACATACCTACCTACATTAGCAAAAATCAATATCAAATTATAAATATATATACAAAATCTATAAAACTTCATAATTTTTTAATATATTTCAAAATGCATCTACTCATATATACATTACTACATATATTAACCTAACAAAACCACAGTAGGTATGTACTTTCTTTTCGATTTTATAATGGAACTAATTCACAATATAAATGCCATGATTAACATCTTTATATGAATATCTGGGATAACACAGTTATCCCAACAACATTGTGCAATGCAGAATAAAGCTTTATTGCTGACGGAGCCATGATCTGAGCTGTACAAAAGTACTCTGTAATCTGAGCAATACTGTGGATGATTATTGTACTGGAATTATTTATTTTGTACTATAAATTTCATCAATGTAAATCCTGCTTGGCTATTACTGACTGATTACACATGGAAGTTTTTTTTTAATCAGCGGTTACACTTGAATCCTTGGGTTTCACAATAATTTCAGTTTGTGAAAACTTAAATGAAATATTGAATGACTGGAGAGTATCAAGAAAATAATCTCCAATAGGTTAAAATTTAAAAAATATATGTAAATAATGACAATAAAATATTGCAGACTTCATTACTCCATAACGCTTTCATCGGCTAATAATAAAATGTAAATATTTAACTAAAATACATAAGTCAATAAAAAAGCACTTAAAACCAAAAAACATTTTATTAAACCATAGGTGTCTTATAGTATTCATGTAAGTAGATTGGAGAACTTGGTGGCATCAGTCTTGTGCCAAAAATTCTCTTTCAAGTGCAGCTCCCATAAGGTTCCATGAACTATCATCATCATCAGGAGGTTCATCGTCATCTGATGGTGGTGGTGATTTTCTTGGTCTCTTACGTGGTCTTAGGACATCATCTGTAACAAAAAAAAAATAATCTTAAAATGGGCAATCTAATAAAGGATACATTCATGATAGACGATAGTTTTATAATATAGCACCCTCTAGAGAGCATTAAAGTTATGAACTAAAAAAAAGATGTTTAACTGCCAAATTTGGTATCAATTGAGTTTATTCAGCACATTTATAGCTATTATATTATACATTAATAGCTGTTGTCACTGGCGAAGAAATGCGAGTGAAACTTATTTTTTCTCCAAACCTGACCAAAATATACTTTATAAAGAAATTATAACCCCAAAATATTATAAATAAAAGAATACTGAAAAATACCACTCTTAAAAGTAAGAATACATGATAATTTCTTCATCTGAAATTGTTACATACAAACTATTTAATATTATAGCCCCACTTTGCAGATAATGTTTACAGTATCAAGTCCACCATTTGCTGTTCTTGGATGATAAAAATTTAATAAATAAAATATTCATTTCTTAGATCTAAACATATAGACTAATAAATCTAGCAAGCTAACAGCATAGCAAAGTGGCGAAGCAATCAGCTTTGTAGCGGTTTCTAACGGTTGCCGTTGAGCAATCAGTTTCAAAATAGGAGGTTCAGATGCCTGGGTGATCAGTAATCGATTGCTGAAAACGGAATTTGAAAATTCAAAACCGTTCTCGAGATAATCGTGGGACAGACGGACAGACATCGTGAAATCAATAAACCTAGCAAGCTAACAGCATAGCAAAGTGGCGAAGCAATCAGCTTTGTAGCGGTTTCTAACGGTTGCCGTTGAGCAATCAGTTTCAAAATAGGAGGTTCAGATGCCTGGGTGATCAGTAATCGATTGCTGAAAACAGAATTTGAAAATTCAAAACCGTTCTCGAGATAATCTTGGGACAGACGGACAGACAACGTGAAATCAATAAGTGACTTCGCAAGCTTCGCCACTTAATAATTACAAAACGTTGGGGATTTCTGATTAAATTACACTATTACCTTACTTTTTATTGGATTTTTATTCATGATCACACACAAAAATTGGTAAAACTATCTTCAAATACACTTATAAACTACAGCGAGTATATAACCTGTATAACTCTATAACCTTCTGAAACAAAGCTAGAGCTAAAACTACTAATTTGTAGACAGCATCCGTGTGTTACGGCCAAAATTTGTGGCGGTGGTGAAAGAAACAATCGTCACACTGGCCACACAGCTATGCTGGAAAACTGCAGCTTGAACTGATTGTACGAGGGGTGATTCAAAAGTAATGATAATCGGTTACTTCAGGTCCGCATAAAAATCCAAAAAAAATATTTTTTGCTTGCTAACCGACAGCCTAAAAAAATCATATAAATAGATCACGATTTCCGGGAGATACATTCATTTGAATACGAAACTGTCAAAGAGATAACATCAACATGGAGAAAAACGAAATTAGAGCTGTCATCAAGTACCTCTGTTTGAAAAAAATGTCTTCAAAAGACATACACAGTGACATAGTGGAAACATTGGGGGACTCTGCTCCTCCATATTCTACAGTTGCACGCTGGGCTAAGGAGTTTAAACTGGGCAGAACATCCACTGAAGATGAACATCACGAAGGACGCCCATCCACGTCCCTCACTGAAGACAACGTGAAAAAAGTCGAAGATGTTGTGTTGGCAGATCGAAGAGTGACCATCAGGCATGTAGCAGAGGTCACAGGGATCTCATATGGCAGCGTTCAAAGAATCCTTGCGAACGAGTTGCATATGAAAAAGGTCTCAGCGCGTTGGGTACCCAGAATGTTAACCGACGAGCAAAAGAAAAATCGAGTTGACATTTCGAGGGTCAATCTCGAAAATTTCCAAGCAGATCAAGAAAATTTTTTGTTCCGTTTTGTGACTATGGACGAGACCTGGATCCACCATTTTGATCCTGAAACGAAACAACAATCGATGACTTGGAAGCGAGCCTCCTCACCGACGCCAAAGAAATTCAAAGTTTCAAGTTCGGCGGGAAAGGTTATGGGGCATCTGTTTTTTGGGACGCTCAAGGCATAATGGTGGAATATTTGGAAAAGGGAGCCACTATTACGGGCTCTTACTACGCAGACCAAATAAGAAGATTACGGGAGGCCATTAAGGAAAAAAGACGCGGCAAACTGCGAGCTGGAGTGCTGTTTCACCAAGACAACGCACCGGCTCACAAAGCCGCAGTTGCGATGGCTGCCATTCAAGAAACGGGATTCGAACTGCTCGAACACCCTCCTTATTCGCCAGATCTAGCTCCTAGAGATTTCTACCTCTTTCCTCGGCTCAAGGAACGCCTCCGAGGCAAGAAATTCGAAGACGATAGTGAAGTAATGGCCGCTGTTGAAGCGTTTTGGGAGGGTCCAGACAAAGAATTTTTTTCAAAGGGAATCCTGGATTTAGAAAAAAGATTTGTTAGGAGACTATGTAGAAAAATAAATTATTATTTTAACTTTAATTACCGTGTTTTATTTTCATTATCATTACTTTCGGATCACCCCTCGTACCTATAAAAAATTTATAATGTTACCTCTGTTTCCTTATCTGAAACTGGATCGATTTCAATTGTTTTAAGATCAATATAAGGACTGTGTGGCTATCTGTATATTTTGCATTTATTTTTTATATTAGTTAAATTCATTCGTGGGATCAAAAATTTTTTTACTAAAAAACGACCTAAAATAAAATATGTTTGTCCACCCACCTGCCGAGCGTGGCAACTACAGCAAATATCTCACTATAAGGTAATTTTTTAGTAAGAAGTAGAATAAGATACAATTAAAAAAAAACATCCAGGCAAAGGGATTAAGCCCAAAAGAGCTTAGTCTTCACCGATGGTTCTAAAACAAAAAACTACCTAAAATAAAATATGTTTGCCCACCCACCTGCCGAGCGTGGCAACTACAGCAAATATCTCACTAAAAGGTAATTTTTTAGTAAGAATTAGAATAAGATACAATTAAAAAAAAAACATCCAGCCAAAGGGATTAAGCCCAAAAGAGCTTAAGTCTTCACCGATGGTTCTAAAACAAATGAAGGTGTCGGATCTGGAACTTTTTCTGAAGACCTCAACATTTACATATGCATACCGTTGGGTACCTACAACACAGTCTTTCTGTATGGGTATTATTCAAGTGGCCAAAGCAATAGATACTAGGAAGGTTAATGACTTCTCGAGTTGTAATATGGTAAAATCGGGACTAATATATGAACACCATCAACAAATTAAATGAGGTATGTAAACACAACAATGTGACTGCAATGGATAAAGGGACAGTGGATCTAGAGGCAACAATGCAGCAGACGAACTGGCCAGAAGAGGATCCACTCTGACTACTATAGAGCCGGAACCAATCATACCAATCCCTTTGGAAACATTTGTTCACTGGTATGTACATTTCACTGATCAACTTTGGAAAAATCTAGTAGACTGTAGACAAGCTAGGGAGGCTTTGCCTGAAATAAACAGTTGTTTGACCAAGGTTGTAATGAGACTGAACAAGCCACAGATGAGGATAGCACGGCATCTTGAAATAATATTTATTTACCATAAGTGTTATAGACAGTAAATACCCCATACATGCCCTGCACAGTGCAAACGGACGAAGGAAGAAACGGCGGCCCACGTGTAGCCGACATGTCCGGAAGTCTGCAACCAGGGCTAAACATCTCGGCACGCCGGGACCACTCCCCAAAGTTGCTCGCAACATCAAAGGACTGTTAACTTCTTTGAGGAGAATTCATGGCTCAAATAAATACATTATTCCTGCCCACACGCAAAATACGCGCTTAAACGTGGTATTGCGGAAAACAGCCCGTTATTCGATTCAACTGAAGGTAATGTTTGGGGGAGGTCTTTATATAGAAGTGGATTTTACATATTAAGCTATAATTAATTAATGAAAAAAATACTACATTACAAAGTATGTGATGATAAGTAGGTAGTAATTTCTGTTTTTGTATTGTGTATGTTATTTGTTGTTGGGTCTTTTTATTTAAATACAACAAAGTTCATCAAGTATTGCATGATGAGATGCCTAAAATTTAAGTTCTATCTAATAGTAAATAGCATAAGTATATAAGTTTATTTTACCTCCTTCTGAGTCACTGGAACCATCAGGATCTTGTAACCTCTCTTGCGAGCTCTCTTCTGTTTCTAGAGTCAGTAATCTATCCTCTGGAGGATTTTCTTCATCGTCAAGGTCATCTTCTTGAGGTTTTGATGCTTCGTCTGATGAGCTTTCATCAGACTCATTAAAAATGTCTTCCACCTAATAAAAATATTGACAATATGTAGTATTACAAGAATATAGTATTGTCCCATTGATGGCCACTAAAATTGTTAATAATAATTTTATTATTTCATAGATAGTGAGAAAGTATTATCTCTGCATAGGCAACTAATGTACTATAATGTATAGGTGAAATTGTCAGCTATATATCGGCTATGAGATCTTTCTAGGTGTTCCCAGTTGCCTCCTAATGTCTTCCAGACCGTATTTCAGTCACGGCGATCAATCTCAACAGAGATTATTTGACGTAACCATTTGCGTAGGACAGGATAATAGTGACCAAGTTTATACGCAAGTACAGGTGCACACTCAATCCCTTCATTCTCATAGTTCGATGGAACGGTAAGTCGATACGACGGAAAATCAGGCGCAGTGTTTACGACTTTACGATCTTTACGAGGCACAGCTTGGGATTCGAATCAAGGACCTCATGATCATGCAGCCACATTTACGACCATTACCATTACCATCCAACGAAGCTGTCAAAATACCTCTTACATATCACTTAGCATAAGAAAAGGTTATGGATTTTCTTGTGCGGCTAATTGCTATTAATAAATGTCTGGTGTATATACCTCTCTATCCATGTCGGCGATGTCGTCACTGGAGAAAGACAGGAGCGGGTTGATGGTATCCATGAAGCGGCCGGATGGTGTGCGTTTACGTGGCGCGGGCGCGGGGGCGGGCGGCGCGGGCGGCGGGCTGCTGCAGTGCGCCGGCGGCCGCCGCGAGCTGCTCTGTGGACAACCCAGCCCGTTAACAATTACTTCAACTGCTTAAATAACAATCACGTGAACTTTTGGCGGGAACTTGACCGCCGGCGGATTGCTGCTCTTGTATTATTGTTTAAATAATAGTTTTGGATTTTGATGTGTAAAAGTGTATGACTATGGTTTTGTATTTTAAATATCTGCGCTTATGAACTATTAGTGGAAACGGTGAAACAAGTGCTCCAATGGTGATGTGAGCACAGTGGCGGATTTACACATTTGCCGCCAGTAGGCTATTCTAATTTTGCCGCCCCTACCGATCTTCTACAATTCGATGCCCTAGTTCACAATCATAATACTAATTACAATTTTTTGTCAACGAAATTGTATCTTCATGATTTGTGCATTATCGTTCTAAATACGCCACCCTTTTCTCGTAATTAATACAATTATTGTAGCTGTGTCTCGCCAGCAACGCAACGTCAGGAATTTCCATTTCGAAAAACCCAAAATTAGGGGCTTTTTAGGTGCCAAGTTTAAAAATTAGGTGCTCTAAAATTTACACGCGTTGCTGGCAAAACGTATCGCTAGTAACGCAGTGACGATAATGATATATGGTAAATATTAATAGCAAGAAATTAAGTACTAATTAGGTGCTGCAAGTATAGGCAATGACAAGGCGCCCCTAATAAAAATAAAGTCGTTATTCAAAACAAAGCAGATGCAAAATTCAGGTTTTCTGAAAATCAGAATAGAATCAAAATTACTTTTTGAAAAAGCCCAAATTAGGGCCTTTTTAGATGGTAATTAGGTAAAAATTTTAAAAATTAGATGCTGTAAAATTTTCACTGCAACAAACTGTTGAAATTTGCGTTGCAGGAATATTATCAGTTACTTCTACAATGGCAAATGTTATTAAATAGTTTTTAGTGCACTTACAGTTTAAAAATAATATATTCAGTTACCTTATAGTAACAATCCGGCTGAAGATGACGATGAAATTCAATTAATTAAGTTATGAAAGTTTTACAATACTTTTTTGCGTAATTTTCTATTCGCAAAATAATCATCAACCGTCAGATGAAATCTTGTTCATTAATTTTGAGTTCTGACTTTATGCACAAAATAGCTAAGGTGTTTAACTTTTCTTGACTTTAGGTAATTTAGTTGACGACGGGCTGTTTTCTGCAACTCCACGTCTAAGCGCGTATTTTGCGTGTGGGCAGGAATAATGTAAATTATTCCAGCGAGAAGCAAATCCGCCCTCAAGGATAGAATGCATAAAAGACCGCATCCTTTCCCAATCGGCCGACCTATAGTGCCAAATACGGTGGCAGCCTGCAGAATGCAACCGCCGACGAGGGATGTCGACGGAAATCTGATATCCGTCCGGATGAGAGGTCAGCAGAAGTTCCTACAGGGAAGGTGCATGATCCTCCACATCTGGAACCCGCGTAGGCAAAGTAATCAGCTGTGTAAGACCATATGCCAAGGCAAAGTCATAAACAAATTTCCCCACATGATCAGTTAAATGTGAACCGAGCCATTCGGCGTGATCGTCGGTCGTTAAAATCGCCAAGCATCACGATCTCTGGGGAAACCCTCCCCCCCAAATAGCAGAATACGCGGGGCAGCTTGAGCACACACGCTCAGGAACAGTAGGGTAGCTTGGGCGTGGGTGCTCGGCGAAGGATTTTCCGTCACCAGGATGCTGGTACCCTCCTGGGGTAGCTTTCCATTTGATTCCGCTACCATACTTTAAGGGGGGCGGGGGGGGGGGGGGGGGGGGGGGGGAATTGGACCTCCAACCACATACACTTACCAAGCGAAACGCAGAAGTAAACTTCTACTTTACGCTGGTATTCTGTGAAGTCGTAGTACCCTGGTTCGAGCTGGCCCATCCATGCGACAGCAAAAACTGCCGCGTGGTTCTTCTACCACTGTTAAAACGTAAACATGGAATAAATTCTATTTACTTTTTTTCTGCCCATCATAAATAAACAACCGATACACAAGAATAAATTATTTTCTTCGTTATGAGACAAGTCCAGTCTTAACAAATAAACCAAACACAGGCAGATAATTGATGATAAGTATGCCCGCATGCGGCGATGCCGCATATGCACCTCACAACGTGAATCTACCTGTCCTATTCATAACTGCCTTTACGTTTTACGGAATTAACCGGTTAATTTGGGTGTCAAAATCATTAAGTAACCGGTTACTTTTATTGTTTAGGTTTAATAAAAACCGGTTAATTTTTTAACCAGTAATTGAAGGAGCGATAAATTTACCGAAATAATTTGGTAATTAATCGAAATTAACCGCTCTTTTTAAACCGGTTCTGAGCCCTGAATGTAATTATTCGAGGCATGAGATTTCCCCGAAGAAGTTTAACAGTCCTTTGATGTTGCAAGCAACTTAGGGGAGTGATCGAATAAAAGCGATAAGCTTTTATTACTTTAAACGGTGAAAAATTAAACACCCGAAAAATTTGTTACAGGTGTACTGCTATATCCAAGTTTTGATAGACATTTTCAAAATTCTGGTTTCGCAGGAACAAAGATAAAATTTTCAATGATCCAGAATCTAGTTTCACTAAAATTCTTTCAGAAGAAAGGTGGCATTGAATTTGTATGAATTCTTGAACTAAGTCAGTCGCTAAATCATTAGGATACATTTCTTCCAAGAAAAAGTATTTTTCTTAAGGGTTAATCTTGATGATGTTGTTTATTTTGGTCCGTTTTGGTTGAACCAACAGGTTCTAAGAGCTACAACAGTAGGCCTCCTATCATATTTCTAATTCAGTTACGAGTCTATCAATGAGGACGAGAAATGTATTAGCCCTGAAAGTGTCACTCGAAGTCATTCTCATTTCTTATATCAGGTGTTCCATCATATATTTTTTTTCCTTTCCAGTTGTATTTTCTCCACGTCTTTTGTATACTGCGTCCACTCGCTTAATTCGATCACTTTTTTTTTAAGGAACGAAAAAAGCAAAAGGTGCTTGGCTTTGAATTTTAGCCATTATATACACACCAGACATGTTTGCGGCATTATCATACTACGGCACGAACCAATTGTAAAGAAAAAATTGTGCCAAAGTAATATTAGTATGTATTAGAAATCGCACCAGGATTCAACCGAGGCTTTAAACTCAATACCAACAGAATAGAATAGAATAGAATAGAATAGAATGATTTTTATTCAATATGGATTATTACATAATACTTATTGAAAGTCATTATTTTATTTACCACTGGTTCGGAAAATACCTCTGTCCTGGGAAGAACCAGCAAGAAACCCAGCGGGACTTTTTTTTTAAACATAATTTCATTTAACAATAATTTTGTTTATACAATTTTAAATGAATTTTCATAGAACCAGCATGGTGGCGATCACCTTATTCCCAGGGGTTATTTTCATTCATGTATTCCTTGATATTATAATAACCCTTTTTGTACAGTTTTTCTTTAATAAAACTTTTAAACTTGTTTATTGACAAACTTTGAACATGTTCTGGGATTCTGTTGTAAAAGCGTATACATTGCCCCATAAATGAATTACTAATTCTGTGGAGTCTTGTAAGTGGCATTACAAGCTTATGTTTGTTCCTAGTGTTTAAGGTATGAACATCCTTATTCTTATTAAAGCTATTTATGTTTTTATGTACATACATTACATTTTCATAAATATATTGCGATGCCAAAGTTAATATGTTTATTTCTTTAAATTTTTCTCTAAGGGACTCTTTACAATTTAGATTATAAAACACGCTGCGTACGCCTTCAACAGCACGATTCTGCTGCGGCTCCCGCGACGGCCGCGCCTCTCTCGTTCAGTCAATAAATCAGCATTTCCATAGATAATATACTACATAGGGCAGGAATTTCGACCAAACACTTAGCGAAAGTTCATGTCACTCGTTTCCGCGCCACAACCAAACGCGACTACGCAAATTGTAGGAAAATTTATGTAAGAGAAAAATGAAAAAAAATTGCCTCGAATTCGCCGCCCCTAAAATCTGCCACTCTAGGCTCCAGCCTACTCAGCCTGCTAGTAAATCCGCCACTGTGTGAACATCAAAATAATGTATCTCCTTAGGTTCCTTGAAATACTATCGCCATCAACTATCTGCTGGCTCGAGCTGTCGTCAATACCTCCCAAAAACTGTGTAATGTGACGCATTTCCAATTAGATGCATCAACATAACTATAAGTTAAGTAGTAATAATTATTTAAAAAATATTTACCTGGCTACCCCTCTGCAATGGATATAACCTTTCATCCACTCTTTCCCATCTTTCAGCACATGTCCAAAGCCACTCTGGTGTAACAACAAATAGTTTGTTTACTTTATTATCACCCATACGCCGACTTGCATTTACTTTTGCTGTTCCTGTTAGAAAAATATTAATAAGTAAACACAAAAATTAAAAAAATAACACATGCTTGGTTTATAAATGAATATTGGTACCTGAACGCACTGCAACTAAATGAGTTGTATTTTCTGTAAAATCTTGCGTCACTTCAGCACCCAAGCTTCTAGCTACTAAATAGGCTCTTGAAGTTTCCAATCTCTGATGTGTTGGTACTAAACCACTAAAAACTAAACTGACTCCTGCCAGAACTTTGCTTTTCACTTCTGGTATAACTGCTTTTAAATCTGGAATCTGTTTACGTCCCATATTCTCATATAAATCGTAAAAATGTCTGTAAAAATATAAGTTTTAAATGTTTACAAAAAAGAAATTGCAGAATTTTGTACTCATGTGGCTAATGGTGAGAAATCGGATTAAGAACACTTACTTATGTATCCTATTCAAAATATCTTCCAAATAAATAAGATAATCATCTGGATCTTCTACTTCTATTTGACCATCTGCAGTTTCCACCCACTGTGGTTCCTGACCTTCAGGAGCAATCTCTTCATTACTTTTATCGCCTTCTGTTTTTTCTGAAGTTACATCCTTTTTGTTCTCTAATCCTCCTTTTGAAATTATCTTACCATTATTTCCTTCACTTGGTTTTTCAGTATTGGTTATAACATCTTTTGCATGAACTTCGGCATCTGTTTTTTCAGGCTCGGGATCTAAAATTGGCATTTCTTGATTGGGTGCTACCTGTGCCCCATTTTTGCCACTTATTAATTTAGATTTTTCGTCAACTGTAAACAGATAAAACTACTAAGCAAATATGATTTACACATGGCAGTAGGTACTTGGTTACTAAAATTGTATCAAGTGATAATGTATTCCTCGTATCTGTCTTCCTTTTAAGGCTTGAAAATAAGAAAGTCTTCAGAAGGACTTTTTTGTTATTGGATTGTTTATGAGGTTACAAAAATAAACATTATGTAACCAGTATCTCAATCCATTTTATATAACCTAGTTTAATATGTATCTAGAAATATTATTTGTAGTTAGATAATGGGTGTAGCAAAGCACTTGATATGTTAGGATTTAAAGTTAAATTCAGTTGTAATAGAAGTTGTTTAGTTATATTCATACATACATAAACACTCACGCCTGTCAATCAGAGGGGTAGGCAGAAACTATGGATGACCAATTTTATTTTCTTTCCAGTTTAATTTGATGGCTAATATTATATATGAGATATCATTAAGTAGTGGCGGTTATTTTCTAGTTGTAAAAGAGTAGCAGAATATTTTCATTAATGTGATTAATATAAAACTTATTACCTAAAGCCGGCGGGGCATTAATATCTCCTGTAGATTGGAAAAATGAGTATGGCCTGACATGGATCAGGTTTGACGCATGCCGCCACACATCTTCACGGTCGTCTATAATACACACCATGTTGTCGCCGCACGGGAACAATGCCCTTAAATTGAATAATCCTTATATTAAAATAAAATATCAAAAAGTTAAATTAATTCAATTATTTGCAAAAAAAAAAAAGAACTACTAATTCTATAAAGAGGCTTAAATGAAGTCATTCAGCTTTAATGACTGTTCTCTTTGGCAAAGCATTCATTATACCTCAACCCCCTTATTAATAAAAATGTAATATTTTTTATAACAAGAATAATATTGAAGAAACTTTAGCTATATTTTTTAATACCAAGCAACAAGATCTATATACAATCATAATTTACAAAAGTTCAAGAATGTTCCTGGGTTGTTAAATTATTACCTGTTTTTTCAATAAGGAGGTTAGAAACCAGAATCGAACTTTATTGTGTGTAAGACTAGAAACCAGTTAAAATAAGAGTTTGTTTAAAGTCAGTTAAAATAACTGTTTCCATGCACCAAGTACAATAAAAACTTAATCAGTTCCAGTATGTAATAATTTTTTTTTAATGTTTTCATGTCAATAATCAAATCATCAAAAATGATCACCGTACGAAAGTACTCTAAAGAAATCAAAATTATATGCTGAGATTAGTTCATCTAAAAATGTAATCCATTATAAAAAATTCCGATTGGAAAGGTAATAATATCATAGGCACATAACATGTTAAATGACCTAACAGAGAATTAAATTGCAACAAATGTTATAAAACAAAATAAATAATATTAAATTGTCAGTCTATATCAGTAAGAGCCATGGAAGCTCAGGGAGTAAGCACTCACTGTAAATTTTACAGTATACCAGCAACCCGGGTTTGATCCCTGCTGGCGAAAATGAAATTAATTGCAATTTTAAGTGCTGATTTACGATGTGCTTAATAGTGAAGGAAAACAACGAAACCTGTATGTCTGACAAATTAGAAAAAAAATTCAAAGACATGGTAAGTCTAGGTAATGCATAGGTTTGACGCGGCAGAAATTTTCAGGCCTGTGCTCAGCAGTGGGGCATATATAACTGTAATATACTGTAACTTTACTTTTACTTTACTATAGCAGCATATCTATACTGCAAAGTAACATGAAGTTCTACACACTTAAATTTGAAACTTTCGATCCATCAGCTCTCATTCGAATTTAATATGAATCTAAAATTAAAGCAGTACTGATGAGCATTGCTATGTTTAGAATAGAAACATTTGAATCAATACTCACTTTAAATTTGCCGATTTTGTTCTAGCGTCAAAACATTCATCTCTTGAAAGTATTCTATGGGAAAAGTATTTCTTTTCTGGATCTAAAAGTTCTGCAATAGCATGTGCATATTGTCTAGCACCAAATGTACAGACATGTAACTCATAGTTTTTGGAAGCAGATTCCAGGAACACTTTGGTTCTAGGTCTCAATCTTGTATGACACCATCTCCCTGTATTTCCCGGCCCACGGAGAAAAAAGTGAAGGACATCCTATAAAAACAAATTTTTATGTATCCAAAAGACTAAAACATTATAGGTAAATTGTATAATGGTTTAGATAAAATATTTAAAAACACTTTACCTTTAAGTTTGGTGGTATGTTGTCATTTGTAGTATGCACTAATGTTTGATCAAGATCAACAAGTAAGACTAACTTTCTATCTTTCAGGAGGCGTTCAGCATCTTCACGGCCCAATTTTTGAGCTAGTTCTTCAGACACCTGAAAAATACCATACATTATGATTAAGCATATTTATCGTAATTAATTAAATATCAAATCAAAATAGCCATGGTACATCATGAGCTGGGAGCTCATGGAAACTTTCAAAATAATCAGGTAACCTACCTAATAAGCATGCTGATTAATACAAGGCCCATTCCACCAGTGGACTTTTAAAGGCTGAAGGAAGAAGAAGAATCGAGTAACCAAAATCTAATATTGTCAGCACTAAAACTGAATTCACTAATCACAACTGCTTATTAGTAAGAAAACTAAGCACTTGCTTGAAATTAAAAAATATTTTTAAGGACAAGCATGCTAGTATGCAACAATGTAGTTTCTTTGCTTTAAAACCTCATAGATGAGAGGCCTGGACCTGCCTGTTGATAGAGATCAGCAATAAGATTTAGAGATATCTGGTACTGTGCTCACTAATCTGCCTGCTGGTGATTAGAGCAAATCCTTCCTCCAATGCGAGAGACTCATATCATGCAGTGGACTATTACTAGAATTATAATAATAAGATTATTTTTACAGAATAAAGAATGGACTCTGGGAGAAAATATATGTTTCCTGGAACTAAAAAAAGGACTCAGGTTTTCATGCTATAAATTCTACTCTATTTAAGCAAAGCTACAAAACATCATCATCATTACAGCCCTTCACAAGTCCACTGCTGAATATAGGCCTCCCCCAAGGAATGCCACAAAGCACGGTCCTGAGCCACCTGCATCCATCGACTTCCTGCATATCTTACCAGGTCGTCACTCCATCTAGTGGGGGGACGCCCAACACTTCGCCTGCCGGTACGTGGCTGCCACTCGAGAACCTTTCTTCCCCATCGGTTGTCGGTTCTTCGTGCTATATGGCCAGCCCATTGCCACTTCAGCTTACTAATCCGTTGGGCTATGTCGGTCACTCTGGTTCTACTGCGGATATCCTCATTTCTGAGTTTATCACGCAGAGAAACTCCGAGCATAGCCCTCTCCATAGCTCGCTGAGCGACCTTGAGCTTCCTCATACGGCCAGCAGTGAAGGACCATGTCTTAGTTCCGTATGTCATCACTGGCAACACGCACAGGTGTACAGTGTCGTTTTCAAGTTTTGACGAGAAGATGTGCCGTAATTTCCCGAACGCTGCCCAACCGAGTTGAATCCGTCGATTGACCTCTCGGTCGAAGTTGGATTTACCTAGTCGGACTATTTGTCCCAGGTAAACATACTCGTCAACAACTTCGAGCTTAGTGCTCCCAACAACTACCGGCATAGGTGTGACATGGACATCAAACATGATTTTTGTTTTGTCCATGTCCTACTTAAGACCTATCCTTTGGGAAGCGCTATTGAGGTCATTGAGCATAGTGCTAAGGTCCTCCAGCGATTCTGCCATAAGGACTATATCGTCGGCAAATCGAAGGTGAGTGATGTACTCGCCATTGATGTTGATACCGTATCCTTTCCAGTCCAGAAGCTTGAAAACGTCTTCCAATGCAGCGGTGAAGAGTTTCGGGGATATGACGTCACCCTGTCTTACACCTCTCTGCAATTGGATAGGTTTCGTACTCTGGTTCTGTACTCGGATAGCCATCGTAGCCCTACTGTACAAGCACTTCGATATACCGACAGTCCACTTGGCACCACTGAAGGGACTGCAGCACCGCCCAAATTTCGACGGAATCAAAGGCTTTCTCATAGTCCACATACGCCAGGCATAGTGGCAAATTGTACTCCTCTGACTTTTGTACAAGGGTATGTATGTGGTCTATGGTGCTAAAGCCTTTTCGGAAACCGCCTTGTTCGGGAGGCTGGAAATCGTCAAGTATGCGCGTGAGACGATTAGTAATGACTCTCGAAAACAGCACGTAGACGCGGCTCAGAAGGGAAATCGGTCTGTAGTTCTTCAAGAGAGCGTGGTCGCCTTTCTTGAAGAACAAGACGACCGCACTTCTGCTCCACGCCTCCGGTGTAATGCCACCATGGAGGATGGAATTAAAGAGCTTCTGAAGGACTTCAAGTACCGGTTTTCCACCCGCTTTCAGAAGCTCCGCTGTAATTCCATCCTCGCCTGGGGCCTTGCCGTTTTTAAGGTGCTGGAGAGCTATTCTAATCTCGCTCAGACTGACGTCCGGGATATCATCGGAATAATGTTGGATAAGACTCGCTCTTGGATCGTTACTCACACTCGCATGTGGCTTCAACGATGACGTGTACAGCTGCCCATAGAACCTCTCAATCTCACTTAAAATCTCAGGTGCCCCGGAAACGATGCTGCCAAATTCTGTCTTCAGCTTTGACAGTTGGCTCTTTCTGGCAGACAGATCTCTGGCAAAGACTTTGGAGCCTTGGTTCCGCTCGATCGCTTCTTCAATACGAGCTGTATTGAAGTTGCGTAAGTCCCGTCGCATGCATTTGGAGATCTGTCTGTTCAGTTGCCTGTATGCTGTCAAATCTGTTGAAGAATGTAGCTTCATCTTCCATCTAACAGCCATGAGATTAAGAGTGTGATCGGAGAGTTTTTGTTTTCTTCTGCAGCTGGTCTTGCAGAACTTAGTTTCGACCGCATGGACAGTTTCCACGAGCTTGTCATTCATATTGTCCACTTCATTGCAGTCTTCTAGGCACTGAAAACGGTTTTGTAACTCGAGCTGAAAGGTTTCGGGACTTTGGATTAGAGCACGAGGGGGACGGAGCGTTGACTTCATAAGACGAGACCTCTCCAACTTAATGTTTAGGTTCAGTGTGCCTCTAACCATTCGGTGATCGCTGCCGGTTTTCACCCTCGCGATCACTGAGACATCACTGAACAGTTGTCGTCTGGTAGTCATAATGAAGTCAATCTCATTTTTTGTCGAACCGTCGGTGCTCGACCAGGTCCACTTCCTGTGGGGCCGCTTCTGGAAAAAAGAGTTCATCATAAAGAGTCCCTCTTTCTCCATGAAGTCGGCCAGCTGCTGGCCCCTTGGGTTCCGTTGCCCTATTCCAAATTTCCCTACTTTCAGCTCACCATTCTCTCTTATGCCTAGTTTTGCATTGAAGTCTCCCATTAACACCGTTTATTGGGTTTTGGAGGAATGCATGGCTCTAGAGATTTCCTCATACATTTCCTCCACCTCCTCATCGGGGTGTGCCGAGGATTGTGCGTAAACCTGCATGACCTTCAGCAAATACCGTTTGGTGATTCTGAGTATAAAGTATGCAACCCTCATCGACACACTTAATCTTTACAACGTTGTTAACGAAAGACTTGTGGGCGATAAATCCGACACCTCCTTGGGACAGATGGTTGCCCGCCCGGTGATAGAGGAAGTTGCCGGATTCGAGGATTACTGTGTCTTCCCACTCTCTTCGGACTTCAGATAATCCTATAATATGCCAGCGTAACTTGTCTATCTCTTCTTCCAGCTCCACAATCTTCTCGTCAGTCCTCAGGGTGCGTGCGTTGTATGTTGCCAGGTCGATTCGTCATAGGTGGCAACCAAACCTCCACCAGAGATTCTTAGCACCCCTCGCCCTGCCGTTACCATGGTCGCCACCGTAGCCAGGAATAGCAGGGCCGCCGGGGACTGGGGGCCGTCTCTTAGTAACTTTATCCATTTGGGGGGTATTTGCCATAGTTGCCACGCTTGGCGAGCGGGTTGTCAACTGCAGTTTTTTTTTTATTGTATTATTGCTGTTTTCAGGAAGATGCTGCTGCCCAGCTCCTGCCTGTTTCCCTTTGTCGCCTTTTACGACACGCACGGTAAGATATGGGGTAGTGGATATTCTTAACCGCCACTACACGGCAAAACAAAACATACTTAATAAGTATTATATTAAATATGTGATATGAAATAAATTAATAATTGAGACGTGTACAAAGGAATATAAATCGCAAATAGGATACCTTAAGTTCAGGTACGGAGTGCACCATGGGAACGATAGCCACGTCGTGTTTAACACCTTCATCGCTACGGAGGTCTGCACCGCATTCTGCGCACATCTCTTTCATTACAGTTGGGTGTCGGCATTCTTCCAAGTCCGCCACGCATCCACTGTAAATTTCATATTAAAAAGGATGTTTCGTGAAAGAGCCTAATAAAGCAAGTTAAACAAAATCTAATAGGGGTTGATCCAATGAAATCTAGTGCCGTAATATCGGATTGCGTTCGCATTTTCGGTTACTTTCTGGATATCATAACATGAATTAGTTAAAGAAGTTTTCCTAAAATATCTATATAAACATTCGCACAAAAACACATAATTTACGATATATTTATTGTAAGAACCCACGATCGTAAAATTTTATGTCTGCACTTTGCCGCGCATTTTTGTATCGAACAGTATGAATAAACAATAACAATATCTCAGATATATCATTATGATACTGAGTTTTAACTATCTTGGTATTAAAACCGTACAAAACTAGTTAAATTGGAGAAAAATATTAATATGTGTGGTTATAGACGAAGTGACGTCACTTACCCAGGTTCAGCGATGTCTCCTTCTTTCACCTTGATGGATGAAATAGTACCAGCACGAACGGCCTTAAATTTCTTTAATTCACTGTTGTTCCCCGAAGAATCACTGTACAAAAATAGTATTTGACCGTGTGACACAAATGCACCTTGTTTTACTTTCCATTTAATGACTTTTAGAGGCTTTTCTGATGGAACAGAAATAGGCATAGTTTTGTCGGCCATTTTGAACGGAAATAGCGCGTTAAAATTTAGACGAGAGTTTTTCATTGGTCAAAAATATCAAGTTTTGGCGGTTTGTTAATATTAACCAATCAGAATTAGTATAAAAAAAGTCAATACGATTCATAGCCAAAAGAATATTCTCCCTTATCCACTTTAGATTAAGATTATGATTTAAAATTTTTTGGCTTGGATATTTGTCTTTTAAGCCACGTTTACATTTAATTGCTTAAACGAATCAAAACAAGAATCATTGCTTAAACAAAACGTATCAAAAGATATCGTTAAATATTTTGACTTATGTTAAGAAAACGGCAGACTTATCGGGGATTTCGGTTGAAGTTATTGTGTCTATAATAGATACTGTGGCACCTTATCTAGCTAAATTTTTAATACAGGTGTCGAAACTGGTGTGTTTCCTGATCGAATGAAACATAGTAAAGTCATACTTTTATTTAAATCTGGTGGTACATTAGACCCCGCCAACTTTAGATCGTTTTCTGTACTACCAACATTAAGTACAACAATTTTAACAGTGGTAGAGCCACGCGGCAGCTTTTGCTGTCGCACGGATGGGCCGGCTCGAACCGGGGTGGTACCACGACCTCACAGAATACCAGCGTGAAGTAGAGGTTTACCTCTGCATTTCGCTTGGTGAGTGCAGGTGGCCGGAGGCCCTTTTTACTGGAAATGAGGCGTCAACATAAATTACATAAATATGGCGGTTGTTTACTTTGCAGTTCACAGCGTCGTTTGAGATATTTAAAGATAATTATTGTTATAATTCAAGAAATGGTGCAAACTAGTGTAGTACGTAGTTGCGGCAGTAGTTGGTGTCCAGGAAGTGATATAAGATTTCACACGTAAGTGTTTAAATAGTTACTTCTGGCATTGAATACTTGTAAAAATACTTCTTTGAATTTTCACTAATTTTTTTGCTGAAACGTTTTATCAGTGTTTTAAACATATTAGTAAATTATAACTTTGTCAAAATCAAATAGTTTTACATTGAATTTAATCGACTTTGAATAATTTTATTGTTTTTGTTTAAAAGAAATCGTACTGAAGTAGTGTGACCATATTGACGATGTATCTGAGACTTTCCGTGTGACCTTAACTAATTATATGTACATGTTTCTTATTATGTTACCGGAAATGCATGAAATTTGGGAATTATGTACAATTCCTATGTATTCTATATAATGACGGATTTCATAATATTAAATTAAAAATTAGTAACACAATATATTCTTTTGGCAGACAATTTATTTTTACTTAGTTTTTGTTTCTCATTATGCTGATACAATAATTACGAATATTTTTTTTAGATTTCCTAAAACAGTACTCGGAGAAATTTGTTGTTATCCATTGTTCCATTTAAAATGGAGTATTATGAAAGTGCAAGGATTTGCAATTTGCATTTTCAAGAATCAGATTATGATTCAACAACAAGGCGCTTAAAACCAACAGCAGTTCCTACTTTTATAAGAAATCAAGAAACAGTATCACCAGGCAAGGTAAAAATTTAATATAATTTAATTATCTATTTTTCGTAATATATTATGTATTTAGAAATGTAGTAGTTTAAATGTATGATATACATATATCAACATTTTGTAAAATATGTTATCATTTGCAGACAACAAGTGCATGACATGAAGAGTCTATTGTGCAAATAGCTTCTCTTGCTGTACCAAGCACTAGTTCTGGAATTAATGAAAGTAGTCCTACACTTAAGGAAACAGGAGTGAAATGTACTGGCTGTAATATTGAAGACCAAACTAGTAAAAACAATGTCGAAAAATTCTTGAAAATTTATGCAATCTGAACAAGTTACCTGTAAGTTTCCTTTTCCTTTATTACTAAATACATACCTTTTATTTGTATTTATTATGACTTTAATATTACATTACATATTATATAGCTTAAAACACATATATATTTAAACTCTTTAGTGCCATTCGCAGTGTGGTAACCGTCACTACGACACTAAGCATGAAGCTTCTTGTTTGATGCTTCATTTATGCGTGCTCACGAAGTCGCGCTCCGGTGTATTACGTGTTACCTATTAAGTGATGTAAATTTGTACTGACATTATGACGTAAAAGAGTTATTTGTTTCTTTTTTTTTTTGTTTAATTCTCTAATCTCTGGAACCATACCAGTCAGATTTGAAAATATTTTTTTGCATTTTTAAAAGCAATTCCTCAGGAAGGCTATCTAACATCACGCTACGACCCTAATGAGCGGAGCAATACTATGTACGATGCTAAAAATACTGATTTCATAAAGGTTTCTTGTTTTTTAGGTCAGCAGTGAATACGACGATGTGCAAGTGAAAATAAAGTGTACTAAAGAAGAAATAATTGAGACGAAAACTAAGATTCTTAAGCAAACATTGGCGCGCCGAACTAAAAAAATTCAGGATAGGTCTTCTTTAATGTCAACTATTAAAAAGTATACGAGTCAGTCAGAAATTGTAAATATTTATTCAGAGTTATCCACATGTTGTGTAAAATTTCAATAAATAATTTTAATATGGAAAGATTTTTTTTAAGGTTTTTTATAAATTATCGTTTCTATTATAGTACATATGTTACTAGAAATCTATGAAATCCGTTATTATATAGAATTCCTAGGAATTGTAGATAATTCGTAAAATGAACAGGATGTGTGGAATATAGTATTATACATATTTCAGCTCAGAGCAGCCTGACTCGGATGGGTTAGGTCAGAAGGCTAAGGCAGGAGCTTCGCTACACTCCTTTAGTCCTCGTGATATTTTTCTAAAATAATTGTCCCGAAATAGATTTAGTCTGTCTGAACAATAAATCAGGTATACTTTGCCCAATTTATTGATCACCCGGGGTGTTATAATAAATTTTAATTTTATATTTCGTTGGTACCGTTTAGGTATTGTATACAATATCCAGAAAATACATTATCGAAATGGTAGTATAAAATATTTTCTGATACATTTATTTTCCACATTTTCTAAATAGGCTTGGCATTATATGGGTTGTAACGGAAATGCGTGGTCATATTTTAGATACCGGTTCTGCCCATGGAAATGAAAACCTTGTACACACACACATATATATATATATAATCTGTATAGGCTAGGTCTTAGTAGTAAACAGAGATGTAACTATTTATAAATAAACCACTTAATGTAATGCAACTACTTACAGCGATATCCTGGGAAAAATAAAATAAAGTACATAAAATTAAATAAAATACATATTTTAAGCTTCAAGTAGGTATTCGTAGTGTGGTCTCCATCTTTATCTATAACTTCATGGGACGTACGGACGTTAGCTTGCTAGTACCATGAAGTTATAGATAAAGATGGAGACCACACTCCGAATACCTACTTGAAGCTAAACCTATGTATTACTATCTCGCTCTCTGTGGGCAGGCCCTTCCTTTCTAAGTAGGTAACCTTTATTTTATTTTTCCCAGGATATCGCTATAAGTAGTTGCATTACATTAAGTGGTTTATTTATAAATATTTACATCTCTGTTTACTACTAAGGCCTAGCCTATATAGATTATATATTTTTGTACAATTTTTTTTGGGAATTGACTAGTTTTATGAAGAAAGGTTTTCATTTCCATGGGCAGAACCGGTATTAAAATATGACCACGCATTTCCGTCACAACCCATATAATGCCGAGCCTATTTAGAAAATGTGGAAAATAAATATATCAGAGAATATTTTATAACTACAATTTCGATAATGTATTTTCTGGTTATTGTATACAATTCCTAAACGGTACCAACGAAATATAAAATTAAAATTTATTATAACCCCGGGTGATCAATAAATTGGGCAAAATATACCTGATTTATTGTTCAGACAGACTAAATCTATTTCTGGACAATTATTTAAAAAAAAATATCACGAGGACTAAAGCAGCGTAACGGAGCTCCTGCCTTAGCCTTCTGACCTAACCCATCCGAGTCAGGCTGCTCTGAGCTGAAATGTGTATAATACTATATTCCACACATCCAGTTCATTTTAAGAATTATCTACAATTCCTAGGAATTCTATATAATAACGGATTTCATAGATTTCTAGTAACATATGTACTATAATAGGAACGATAATATATTATTATTTTGAGTTGTTATCAGGATGATACCGCTGCCCATCTCCTGTTTCATTTTCCCTCTGACACCTCTTACAACACCCTCGGAACGATATGAGGTAGTGGATATTCTCACACCACCACTACATGGTTTGTTAAAAACCTCAAAAAAAAAAAAAAAAAAAAACACTTTCCATATTAAAATTATTTATTGAATTTTTCACACCATGTGGATTACTCTGTGGCTTTTTGAAGTCCTTACAGATATGAGCAAAGCGCCCTTGAATAATATTTTCAATTTCTGACTGACCCGTATACTTTTTAATAGTGTCCATTAAAGAAGACCTATCCTAAATTTTTTAGTTTGGCGCGCCACTTTTTGCTTAAGAATCTTAGTTTTCGTCTCAAGTATTTCTTCTTTAGTACACTTTATTTTCACTTGCACGTCCCTATCAATCTTCGCGGGATCGTCGTATTCACTGCTGACCTAAGAAAACAAGAAAACTTTATGAAATCGATATTTTTAGCATCGTACATCGTATTGCTCCACTCATAAGGGTCGTAGCGTGATGTTAGATAGACTTCCTGAAGAATTGGTTTTAAAAATGCAAAAAAATATTTTCAAATCAGACTGGTATAGTTCCAGAGATTAGAGAACTCTAATAAAAAAAGAAACAAATAACTCTTCTACATCATAATGTCAGTACAAATTTACATCACTTAATAGGTAACATATAATACACCGGAGCGCTCCTTCATGAGCACGCATAAATGAAGCATCAAACAAGAAGCTTTATGCTAGGTGTCGTAGTGACGGTTACCACACTGCGATTGGCACTAAAGAGTTTAAATATGTATGTGTTTTAAGCTATATAATACATTATGTAATGTAATATTAAAGTCATAATAAAT